AGAGAGAGAGGTCCTCTCCCCACTGCAGTGAACCTCCGTGGGTCTTGGGGGGCCTCCCCAAGCCTTCCGAAATTCCCCTTCTGTCCTCAGCAAGGGCTCAGGCCCCAGTTTGCTCCTGTGCCTGTGTGTGTCAGGTGTCCTGGCAGGAGTGAATGCTGGGCTCTGCCCTTGCTGCATTCACAGAGAGATGTGCTGCAGATCTGGCACTGAGAGTGTGGGGCGGAACAGGAGGACACTGCTGCCACCCCTGCTGTGGGCCAGGCTTGGGGGCCAGCACCTCTCTGCCTGGACTTGACACCCGGTCTCCTCCCTGCCCTGTTTCTGGCAGCTCCCTCCTGGGCCCTCCCTAGGTTAGGGAGGAGCTGTGATGTCTGGAGTTACCGGTTGGCATTGTTGCCTCTTAACTCTTCCAACCCTGCCACCCCGTCCTTCTTGGTGTCTTATGTCATTTTGGGGCTTTTGCAAGATCCCTGTGGAGCCAGGGGCTTGGCAAACTGCTGGCCTTATGCTTTGGGTGTTGGAGAAAGGAAAACGGAACGCAAGACAGAAAGGCGGGCAGAGGCCTGGGCAGCCTGTCTGGCAAGGCAAGCCTGTGGCAGGGAGGATCTCGGGTTTGAACTGCAACACAACAGCTGAGGCCCGGGAGGGAGGGCGGGCGCCCGTGGCTCTGCCTTCAGGGTGCTGTGCAGGCCCAAAGCGCGGGCCCTGTTGCCTTCAGTGGGTGGGCTCCGAGCAGTGGGCCTCACTGCTGCCAGGTCCAGAGGCAGAGAGGCCCAAAGCAAGGCAGGCAGCTGGGACCCACTGGCCCAACGGGCTTGCAACCAGTAAGGATGCGGCCAGAGGGGGCTAGTTCAGCCCACTGCCCTTGTCAGAGGTGGCTAGCAGGGCTGCAGCTGTCCTGGGCGTTGGGTGTCCCTGGCTGGCCCTTGACTGCTAGTCGCCTGCACAGGCCCTAACAGGGCCTGATGAGCGACCTCCTGCTCCTCTGCTCACTGGTGAGTTCTCCTTCCCCATCTCTCTCCCCCTCTCTTTCTCTCTCCCTTCCCTCCCTCTCCTTCCACCTGTCCCCTCTCTCCCCCTGGGGCCTCGGGGGATCCAGAAGGACAAGTGCTCCCTGAGTCCCGAGGAAGCGGCCTGGTGCAGCCCTGAGGCCCAGGCACTGACCCTCCCTCTCCCCTCTGGGTCCTGCTTTGGAGCCCATCCCTCAGGGGGCCTGATGGGCCCTAGTTCAGGCTGGAGAGGACGGGAGCTGGGACCCTGCGGCCTCCCCACCATAGCCGTAGCCCTAAGCCCTGCACCCAGCACTTTGGCCTAGGCTGTGCCTTCTCCTGGGATTGGGGGTGGGGAGAAGGCCGGAGGGGAGGCTTCCCTCCCCGTGGGAGGTGAGCTTAGTAGACAAGCCACCCACCGCGGGAGTGGGCACGGCCAGCTGGTGTCCGAGACCCAGTCTGAGGGTTAAGCAGAAGGACAGAGTGTGGCCGCACCCCACCCCCACCCCGGCTGGTCCTTGTCCCGCTGCAGTTGTGTAGACCCCTCAGACTCCTGCAGGGAGGCCCTGAGCCACCCAGCAATTTCCTGGGCTCTGGGAGGGGAGGGACCGCAGGCCCTGGGACCTTGGGCTTCTGAGCTGCCTCCCCCCGCCGCTGCCACGCGCCTGGGGGGGCAGCCGGCTTCTCCAACTCCCTCCCTCCCCCGCTGTGTCAGAGGTTTTTTCCTGTTTTCTGCCGCAGCCTCTGGCCCAGAGGAGTTTGCTGCAGTCAGGGCTGCTGCATAGGCAGAAGGGAGAGAGCGTGAGGGGGGAGGAGCAGCCCCAGCACCCAGCTCCCTCTCAGCCTCATCTGGGATGCCCTTCTGGGGAGTCCCTGCCCAGTGAGCCCCTGAGAGTAACTGCCAGGGGTCTCCTGAAGCAGTGCTCTGGGCCACACAGGGCGTGACCTTGGCTAGGCCACTTGGCCTCTGTGTGGAGATGACCTCCGCTGGTCCTCCTCACAGCCACTGGGAAGGGCTGTGCTGAGAGAGAGGCTGCTCGCTCTTGGACTGGGGTTCAGCTGGGCAAGCTGGGAGTGCTGGGATGTGGTCCCAGGTCAGTGGCACCTCAGAGCGCAGGCTTCTAAGCACTGTGCCTACAGCCTCGGTCTGCCTGGGCCCCGGCAGTGGGCCTTCCTGCCAGGGTGTGCTCAGGGCAGTCTCTCTGCTGCCCTCGCTTCCCCTCTGGAGACGGGGTGGGGGGGCTCTGATTTTTTATTTATTTTTGGGGGGTGCAGGGAGGAAGGAGGGAAACTTCCTGAGGATGGTGTAGCTGTCCCTGCTTTGGGAGGGTCCTTTTTCTGACATTGGTGTGTATTGACCTCAGAGCTGGAGTGACCATTCAGTGCCTCTCACGGAGGGACCAAGGCGGCCAGAGTCCTCCCAGGTTCACACCAGCTGTCCCGCTCCCAGCCTGGTGTGCAGAAGGGGCTGGAGCTGCCCCGCTGCCCTGCCGGGCGTCTCCAAGGTGAGCCCAGGGCAGCTGCCCGGCCTTCTGCCTGGAGAGCACCCCGGCCAGTCCAGGAACCCACTCTCTCCTTGGCCCTCCCCAGTTTTTATTTTTGTGGCCCCAGACGCTACTCTAGGGATCACAGCTGGCCTTTAGTGATTTTGTTTTAACATCTGTGTTTCTGCTGGGAACCTCCCACAACGTGGAGGCAATGGGAAGGGGTTACTGGTCCCAGATCTGAAGGCTGCGATCTTCAGCACCATCTCTATGTAATGATGAAAACCCCTGTTACTTCTCTCTTGGGATTGTTTCAAGGATTAAATCGGATAATATACACGGAAATACTGTACAAATGGAGGTGCTGCCCTCCTTCCAAGTTGGCAAGAAGGGGAAGCAGCAGTGTCCTCCGTCTCTCCCCGGGCTCCACGTGGCCTGTGGGTGACTTGTGTTGGGTTATATGAAGCCCTGTGACTGATCTGCAGTGCTCTCTTATGTCCACTCTTCGCCTGGTATTACCTCTCTGTGTATGTACTTAAATTTCCACGTATCGACAGTTTGCATCATCTGTACCTTTTGGTAGCTCTGTATTTCTGTTCCATTCTGTTTGTATCACAGAATGTAAGTTGTCGTATTATTAGACATCTT